CCCGCCGCTCGCCAGGGGGCAGCACCGTCGCCAAGCGTGCACTCCTCCCCGCCCCGAACATCTCCATGCGGCTGATGACCACTATAAAACGGCGCGCGGCCCGGCGTCCTGCACCAGTCTTCTGCAGCAAGACGCACCGCTCCACCATGTACAAGGCTGTAAGTCTCTGCCTCCCCCGGCCCCGCCGCCCCACAGTGGGCCAGAAGACCAGTGGGGGCGGCAAAAATTCTAGACGCGTTTTGAGCTCCAGTGTCACTAAACAGGGCTCGAGCCGAACGTGTGACCCCACCAATGGATTCCTCGTTCGGAGAGCAATCCATTGGTGGGGTCACACGTTCGGTTCGAGTCCCATTCAGCCATTCAGCTCAAAACGCGCCCGGGATTTTGACCGCCTCCTCCGGCCTTCTGGCCCACTGTGCGCCCCGCCATAGCCACCCTACGTGCCGAGATACGAGTCCCCTTGGCCTTGCAGTGCAGGCCCTGGCCCAGGCCCTGGCGGCCCTTTTAATTTTCGCCTATCTCTACGTGTGTGGCCTGCGTTGTGCGCGGGCTTTCGAGGAAATACTTCTTCCTAGCGCCGCTCCGGGCTTCCAGCCCAAATTGCTTTTGGCAGTGTAGCCAGCCACTCGGCCAGGCCCAGCCAGGCCAGCCGGGCCCCCCATCGGGCCTTACCAGTCACTGCTCCCGACATTTCTCTTTCATTTGATTAAGCCGAGGGCATCGCCAGGCCTTGCCAGGCGTGGCGGCTGCAGTCCCTTTGTTTACCTTTCGTAGCAGACGGCGCCAATTCTTCCAGAGGGCCTTTCTTTTTCAGCCCCTGATTCCAATTCGCGTCTTTCGGAGCCATCCCCGCCCCGGCGTCGCGTTGCCCCTACGTGTCCTTTCGGGTTTTCGCCAACCCCTACCTCCAACAGGCGGCTTACCCGTACCCAAAGAAATCTCAGCTAAAAGTGTCACTCCCCCCCCCGTTTATTTTTGCCTTAGAGAGTGGACCGCGCCTCCGCTCTGGCAAACCCCGAAAGTTTGTCCCTCGCTTTAGCTAACTAGGTGGCGTCAAAGTTGAGCCCATCTTCGGGGCGGTGGCTTGACACCCGGTGTGGTGTCCGAAGTGCGCCGTCGTGGTCCCGGACGGTCCCGGACGGTCCCGGAGCGGAGCCTGGGTATCGACCTAATCACTGCCCCGGGCGGGGCCTCGGCGTGGGCTCGCCGGGGGCTCGCTTGTCAATGCATAGGCCAGCCTGCCTGGTAATGGATAGGCCCCCAGCGTGTGGCTTGTGTCCGTGTAAACGGTGCGCGCGCGCGCGTATGTGTGTGTATGTGAGTGAGGAGAGGGTGTCTGTGGCTGTGCTCGAGATTAGACAAAGATTAATTGAGATTGTCCAAAGTTTCGCGCAAACACTTGTTGGCGAACAATTGATTTTCGTCGTTTTAAACCGCCACTTTGACTTCGTCTTGGGATTGTTTAGTCCTGTCTTGTCCCTTGACGAAAATCGCAGTCATCTTCCCTTTTACTACTTCGTGTGCTGTCCTCCCACTGCTTGAGCAAGCGCTTGAAGGAGGTGCTTCCCGTGCTCTAGCCTCCCCCGCGATAATTATTTTACGAAGCGAAGCCAATGGACAGTGATTCCCCCTGCTGGTTCTCTAATGGCCCCGTGTGTTGCAGCTCCTCCTCGTGTTCGCCGTCCTGGCCGTGGCCTCGGCCCAGTACATCACCCCGTACATCGCCAGCCCCCTGTACCGCACCGGCTACTACGGCTACAGCGGCCTCACCGGCTACTCCGGCTACTCCCTGCCCTACGCCTACACCTACCCCTACTCCGGACTGGCCTACAACTACAACTACCTCTACAAGTGGTGAGTAGCCTTGGCGCCTGCGAAGTTGAGGGTAGGCAACCGGGGGACACGGAAGCGCGCCGGGTTGCCTACCGCCAAGGCGTTCGCCGTCCCAGGTTGGAGCCCGCTTTGACGTTCTTCCTCTTTCTTGTTCAAGATTCCGCCAACCGACACCGACCACGACTGCCAGCCGATACCCGCCATGCTCGACTACTGCCACCCTCCTGGGACGATGACTTCCATTCGATTCTACTACCTTTTTCGAGAATTTGACAAAAACGTTTAAAATCTGAAATAAAAGTTGCACTTATTTATGATAGTCTGCCGGTTCTGATTTCTGAGATCCCCACCTTCCCATCAGCCAACTGGGCACGCCGATACACTGCACACCATCAAAGCGAGAAAAATCCAAATGACTTTAATAATACGGACACTGGGCGGCACGGCACGGAAACGGCGGTCGCCGTAAGATCATCCGGGACGATTCTCGTCGTTCTCGCCTTTGGGCCGTTTCGCACGAGCGTCGAAACGAAGCCCAAGGCGCCCAAGGTCGCTGGGCCCCGCAAGTGGCAGCAACCACAGCGCGCCGCTTCCTCACTGTAAGCCACTGACTCCGAGAACTATGCAGTCAGCACACAATAAGTGGCTATTCTTGCAGGCCTCTCAGTCTGCAGGAGCGCAGCGAGAATCCGACGACGATTATGCAATTTTTTTTCGAGAGTGAGCGTCACAAAAATCAAAACAAAAGCGACACAACGAGTGCCCTCTGTGCGGTAACGCGTGGAGTACGAAAGGCAATGCCCCTGCGCGCGCAAAACAGGTCCTGCAGACTGACTCCGAGAGGCGTTGTTTTCATCGCTCTGTCCCTCCCGCTCTCATGAGGCTCCCATGGGTGCGAGAGAGAGAGAGACGGACGACTCTCGGAATCAGTCTGCTGGGGACGCCTTCACAGAACGGCCCTCCGAGATGGCGGGGCTCTCGCACTGTAAAATGGCTAGTGCAGTGGTTCTCAACCTTAGGGTCGCGACCCCAAGCGGGGTCGCGAAATTTTTTTAAGGGGTCGCGGCGATGCTGGGGTCGTGTTTTAGGCCGATTTTAAGCAGCCACTGCGTCTGATCCGAGGCGGGCATTTTGCTCCCTCAACGGGAAATCGGTCTTTGGACCTTCCTTTAGCATGCCTTTGTTACGGAGTGCAATTATCAGTCTTAGTTTGGGAGCAGTATTGTCTCAAAGTTGGCCGAAACGCTCAGAAATGTCTATGAAAAATCGTGTTTTGGGCCGATTTTAAGCAGCCACAGCGTCTGATCCGAGGCGGGCATTTTGCTCCCTCAACGGGCAGTTGGTCTTTGGACCTTCCTTTAGCATGCCTCTGTTACGGAGTGCGATTGTCAGTCTTAGTTTGGGAGCAGTATTGTCTCAAAGTCGATCAAAACGGTCGTGTCTTTGAAAAATCGTTGTGACTATTTTGGTCAACTTTGAGACAATACTGCTCCCAAACTAAGACTGATAATCGCACTCCGTAACAAAGGCATGCTAAAGGAAGGTCCAAAGACCAATTGCCCGTTGAGGGAGCAAAATGCCCGCCTCGGATCAGACGCAGTGGCTGCTTAAAATCGGCCCAAAACACGATTTTTCATAGACATTTCTGAGCGTTTCGGCCAACTTTGAGACAATACTGCTCTCAAACTAAGACTGATAATTGCACTCCGTAACAAAGGCATGCTAAAGGAAGGTCCAAAGACCAACTGCCCGTTGAGGGAGCAAAATGCCCGCCTCAGATCAGACGCAGTGGCTGCTTAAAATCGGCCCAAAACACGATTTTTCAAAGACACTGCTGACCGTTTCGGCCAACTTTGAGACAATACTGCTCTCAAACTAAGACTGATAATCGCACTCCGTAACAGAGGCATGCTAAAGGAAGGTCCAAAGACCAACTGCCCGTTGAGGGAGCAAAATGCCCGCCTCGGATCAGACGCTGTGGCTGCTTAAAATCGGCCCAAAACACGATTTTTCATAGACATTTCTGAGCGTTTTGGCCAACTTTGAGACAATACTGCTCCCAAACTAAGACTGATAATTGCACTCCGTAACAAAGGCATGCTAAAGGAAGGTCCAAAGACCAGTTGCCCGTTGAGGGAGCAAAATGCCCGCCTCGGATCAGACGCCGTGGCATGTTAAAGGAGGGGTCCCGTGGGGTCGCGAAATTTTTCCTGGGGGTCGCGGAATTTTTGGCTTCAAATTTGGGGTCGCGAGCCGAGAAAGGTTGAGAACCGCTGGGCTAGTGTTACATGCGGTTCACCCACACTCTCAAAAACAAAAAGAGCGAAAGTCTCAGTGTTGACGAACTAAGCAAGAAAATAAACAACAACAATGCGATTTACAGACGGTTTCTTTGTCTTCCGCGCAGAAAATCTGTTCGGTTTCCATCATCCATATCCGTACTGAAATTTTTCTGATGCACAATAACAAGGAAACGAGCTTGCGTGTTTTTGTTACAGCGGCCAGAAGGGCCACGGTATCAGTACTGCAACACTGTGGGAAGCGCGCCGAGATCAAAGGGAAAAGTAGCGAGCAGCAGCGAGGAGGAGGGACACTTCCAGCCGCGTGGCGCTGGCCCGCCTAGGCCCGCGTCGGCCCGCCTTGCCCGGGGAGCGCCTGGAAACTACCAACCGCATTTTCTTTTAAGAAAACAAAAAATGTTTATCTCTTATCTTTCTCTCGGCCTGGGCGGCCCTATATTTATGTAGGCACGTTTTGAATAATGGCGCAGCAAACATTCACTATGAGTGCGAGAGAGACAGAGCGACGAAAACGACTCTCGGAATCGGTCTGCCGGGGCGCTGAGTGCTCCCCGTTTTGGCAAGGCGTGTGTGTAGTGTGCCCTGTGCCACACTGTGTGGTGAGGGCTGAGACGAGCAGAGCCGAGCCCGGCCGGCACAACCCGCAGGGCGGAGCCGAGCCGAGTTGGTTGGCCCGCGCTGTCCGCTCCAAGGAGGAGGCCAAGTAGCACTGCATCGTAGTGGCCCTCTGGCCTAGCGCCCCAAGGACACCGGACCATCCTTAGCATACCCCTCTCCTGTCCCCTCCTCCCCTCCCCGGACGCCGCACGGTAGCTGCAGTGGTATATAACCGCGACGCGGCGACCGGGCTGTATTAGTCTTCTGCCGAAAGACAAATCAACACCGCCGCCATGCTGAAGCAGGTCCTCTTCGTGCTCGCCGCCGTCCTGGCCGCGTCGTGCGCTCAGTACATCGCCACGCCGTACCTGGCCACCAGCCCGCTGTACCGCGGCTCCGCCTATTACAGCACCGGGTACGCCTACCCGTACGCCTACAGCGCATACAGCGCGCCCCTCGCCTACGCGTCGCCGCTGGCCTACTCCACCTACCTGTACCGCTGAGATGGGGTGAGTTCCATTTCGAGTGCACCATGCAAGGTTTTGAGAGTGCGAAATCGAACAGCTTACTGTGGCTGTACAGTTGGACGCCAGAAAAGCACACCTCAATCTTTACGCTCGTTTGATTCTACTTCTTATTTTGGACAAAGCGTTGCCTTTTGCTGGCTCAGATCATCCTTAATGTGCCACAATTTTTACTGCCCCGCTATTCTCAGGAAGAGTGACGCTGCTTTTTATGTCCTGCAGGCCGGCTGCCTTTAATGCCCGACGCACCCGACCTGACATCCCGCCGATCGGCCGCTGCACCCCCAGTTAACTCCGCATTTACGAGGCGTTTTGTACTTTTGGAAAAAAAAAAATAAAGTTAACCGTCTTTTCTTTCTTTTGTTTCGTAAGCTTTACTCTCCCTGTACACCACCCGCGGACACTACACTACGATTTCTGCTGCAACGAACAAGTTTATACGGATAGATTGGTTTGGATGCACTTGGTGAGCATCTGCCCGCAACAACCGTCTTGTCTGCCTTGCCTGACGGCTGCTCCTGCAAGTCGCGAAAGTTTGACAAACTGTTCGACAGTGTGTGTTTTGGCGGACAGGCCGTGACGGGCACGCTGCCCGCGGCCACCTCAGCAGGCCCGCCGGGCTACGCCGGGCCGGCAGAGCCACTCCACTGCCGTCCTTGCAGTGGGGGGCGTGTTTTGGCGCTGCAGGCCACGGGACGACTCCACGGCCCTCTCTCTGTCTCTCTCGCACCCTCACGGGGCGCCCTACGAGTGCGAGAGAGACAGAGCGACGGCTCGGGGGCGGCCCGCTGGCAGCGTGCCCGCGTCCAGCGGCGATTCGGCAGGTCAGGGAGGGGCCGCGGACGCCACGCTACTTTCAGAGCGCCATCACAGTGTGGTCGTAAACCGCGGGAAACAATAAAGAGTCGGTAATTCGGCGCGGTTCGAGAGAGAAGACCTCGCGTTGTTCTTTTACGACGCGGAATGGATTTGCCTGGCGGTGACAATGGAAGTGACATGCAGTCCGGTCGGGCAGCAAAGCACGGTTCATTTCCACCATTAGCAGCTTTCACCGGGAACGCGTCAGCTATTCCCAATCGAGTTTTTCTAGTCATTGTTCACAAGGACGTACGGTGAACAGGACAGCGCGATGCTCGCAACCCAGGCGCTCTCCCGGAGAGCGTCGTTCAGCACGCACGGCATTTTCGGGCGTCCCGTTTGAGGCGACGCAGCCCGCGGCGCAGGCGACCGCTCACTAAATTCGATGATTGATTACATGCACCACAAGCGGAATCCAGACAGTAATCCTCCCCCCACCCCTCCCCCCGTGGCCCCGTGGATTAGACCGCCACTGTGCATCGGCTGGACTGCGCACCGCGCACTGACCGATGCCACTTTATCTGCGTGTCCTCGTTTGCCTGGAAACACTTTTCACGCGAACAGGCTCAAATTGGGAGAGGTGCGTTCTTCTGTTTTCAGTCGCAAAGGTGCTCGAAGATAAGTGATTTACCTTCGAGACCAACACACACTGATTCCCAATCACTTTGATGAGTGTTCCAAAAGACGCTTAGAGAATGTTGAAAATTTATAAAGTAGTCGTGAAATATTGGCGGATTTTGGCGAACGAGATTTTCTGGGGTCCTTCGCGTCATCGAAGGTGCACGTGTCGGGGTGCCAAAATTGCTAATTGGTCATCAGGGTGGCCGGGGAGGCCGGGGAGGCCGGGGTGGATGAAAGTAGTTAGGGGCGCTCCCGAGCGCGTCGGCGTGAGGCGACCTTGCCCGTGCCAGCAGCGGCGACCGCAGCGGACCATAGCGAACGTCAATCTATTGAAATTGGTCGCGCGTCGCGCGCGTCGCGCCTACTGTACGTCGCACTGCGGCTCGGCACGGCTCGGCAGCGCAGCAGGTGCGAGCGGAGCGCAGTAGTAAGAGCCCCCAAAGTTGAGGCGCTCCCTGACTGAGGGGGGACCTTACTACTGCGGGCCTAAAGGTGCCCGCCGAACTCCCCGTATTTTTCAGTGCAACACATTCGAGGCAGAATCAGGACGTTATTGAATAACCCCCTCGCCTAAACGGGAAACTCAAATAGCGAAATTGCGAGAGCGCTTTGCAGGCGGCTGGGCGGGGTGTGTTTTTCCTTCGAGCTGCAGGGGCTTGATTGGGCAAAGCGGTGCCGCTGCAGGCTTCTATGGCGGAGGCCGTGGCGGAGGTCGTGGAGGAGGCCGTGGAGGAGGTCGTGGCGGAGGCCGTGGCGGAGGCCGTGGAGGAGGCCGTGGAGGAGGCCGTGGAGAGGTCCGCATGCGACCGGCTTATCCCTGGGAGCTTCGTGCGTGTGGGCTGTGCGCCGCGCCGCCCCTAAGCCGGCCTGTAAGCGATACAGAAATTGGCACCACCGGTCCGGCTGGCCCGCAGGCCGGCGCGGTGAACCCTCGGACCTCGGGGCCCTCAGCTCACAGGCCGTCCCGTCGGGGGGATTGGTTCCCTTATCTGCGAGCCCAGTGTGCCCGCCGGTCGGCCCGCCGGTTGGCCGCACGCGTGCTTATGCTTATCCCGCCGAATGTGGCTGAATGTGTTCAGGCGCTCGTCCCAGAGGCGGTGCGTGGTGTGATGATGAGCCACAAGGCCGTGACCCCGGCGGAGCCATGGCGGAGCCTACCCCTCCGCCAACCAACCGACCCTCATTTGTGGAAACTCGTGAAAAAGTCTCTTCACACTGCGAAACTGAAAAGCAGTAACCAACTGCATTTTTCTAACACTTTACTATTGTGAATGTTAGGCAGTAGAGGCAGTTTTGGCAGTGGTGCGACATTCCCAACTCCAGCGCCGTCGGCAGCCAGGAAAGCACAGCCGCTGCACCGTGCGCGGCGACGCGGCGGCAGGAAGGCAGAGCGCCGCAGGCGGACTGGCTGGCAGACGCACAGCAGCGCAGAGGCTTGTCTCAGCCAATCGGCCGGGTCGCTTCTAAATGTTCATCATTCGGCGAGCGGAGCGCCGCGCGTGCGTTCACGGGCCATTGTGCGTGCGGTGCAATCTCAGCCACAATCACACTGTGTGCGTGTGTGTGTGTGCAGCGTGCAATTACTGACCCCCCTTCCTGCCCCTCCGCTTTTGGTGTATGCCTTCTCCCCTCCCTCTCTCTCTGTCTCTCTCTCACTCCAGAGCGCAGAGCAATTACATGGATCTGTCGTTTTTCCAACACGACTTGGTGCAAACGCACCACTCAGCAGCTTGCCATAGCCACCGCACTGCAAAACGAAGCCCTCGCCGAAAATAAGACAGAGGAGCGCCATCCCTTTTCTGCAGCCCGGCCAAACAGAGCGAATCGATAAATGCATTAACAGGCGCGCGGCATTCGTTTACAGAAAGGGTTAGCTGCTGCCAGTTTGGCCAACCGTTTTGGCGCCGCTGTTTTTAGGGCTGGCATCCCTCTCTGCTTCTTTCTCTCTCTCTATTTGGCAAGGGCGCGCCAGCTGAGAGGATCGCAGCCGATTGCCCAGATAATAATTCCAAGAGCCATAAAGGAAGCCGCCCGATTGTGGGCATTTTCGCCTACTTTTTCGGCAGCGCTGCGCTAGGGTAAATGACGATGCTGACCGCCTTCTAGCGAACAGAACCCTGCATATCGATTTACCGGAAGAACAGGAGGGCATCGCGAAGGCGACGCGTGGCACAGTGTGCCAGAAGACCAGTGGAGGCGGCCAATATCGCGACAGAGAGAGAGAGAGAGAGAGAGAGAGAGAGGGAGAGAAGATGAAAAGAAAAGGAGGGAAGATTATCGCTGTGGGCGCTCGCGCTGCGCGCGCTGCTCACGCCAGCATGGGCGTGTTCACCCTGTCTTTGTGCAGAAAGGGCCGCCCTCCGCGCCTTTGTCGCCGACCACACATTCCCCGCTGGAAAGAAGACCCCGTGCGCGCTTTGCAAGTGATTTCAAAACGCGTGCGACCGCCCGCCGGGTTTTAATCGGTCTGTCTCCCTCGCACCCCTTTGGAACGCCCCAGGAGCGCGATGGAGACAGAGGCTGGTCGTGAAGGTGCTTCTCCGCGTCCGCGGGCACCGCAAGCAGTGCCATGAGGAACGACTGCCCGAACCGACGACACCGACTGCGGGGCGAACACGAAAGAAAACCTGAGATGGCCGGCCGTTCTATGCTTTTCCGCGAAAATCGTTTATCGCTCAGAAAGGTACCGCCTTGCTTCACTTGCGTCATTCCCCAGTGGCCGCAGGCAGGGCCCCGCTGGGCTCAATCAAGAAGGGCCCCCGCGTGACGTCACGGAGGCCACTCTGACGTCACTGCCAGGTAGCCGCAGCTCCGGCCAGCCGCTCGACGAAAAGAAACAAAACACTGCGCGGCGTCCGGCCGCACGCTCTGCAAGGCAAGTCGTGCGAGTCCGATCGCCGGCCGTCTCTCTCGCACCCATGGGCCGTCCCGGGGGAGTGACAAGGACAGAGCAGTGCGTGACGGCGACGACAGCGGAGCGCCTGCGGGACAGCACAGGCCGCCCCGCCGAGCAGTGGTGACCGCGGGATGCCTACCTCGCCGCCTGCAGGCGTCCGCTGCCGGGCCGACGGCGGCCGGTGCGGCGGGCTGCAGGGTCTTTTTTCCCGACGAGGAGCCTGCACGAACCTGCCCTGCTCCTTTTGTGGGCCTCGACGTGCACGACGGACGCACGTCCCTGCTTCGTGTCGCGGCCGCCGTCATGGAGCAGCAAGGCTTCCCCGCGGTGCTCGCGGTGCTTCGCGCTCCAGCCGGCCCAGCCTTCTTATCCTAACAATGTTCCCGGATGATGAAGTCTTCCCCGCAATTTTTTTTCCTGCCTCCGCCGCGCGCCTCCCGGCCGCCTTGCGACGTGCGCGGCCCGGTGTGACTGCCGACTGCCCCAAACCGCGTTAGCCGCGTTAGCGGGCCCGGGCCTCACTTTCGCTTCCTGGAGCTCCAGGCTGCTCCAGGCTGCTCCAGGCTGCTCCAGGCTGCTCCAGGCTGCTCCAGGGTGCTCCAGGCTGCTCCAGGCGCTCCAGGCTGCTCCAGGCTGCTCCAGGCTGCTCCAGGCGCTCCAGGCTGCTCCAGGCTGCTCCAGCGCTCCATGAGCTGCTCCAGGCTGCTCCAGGCTGCTCCAGGCTGCTCAACAGGCAGCTCCGGCTGCTCCAGGGTCTCCAGGGTGCTCCAGGCTGCTCCAGCACTGCTAGGCTGCTCCGACTGCTCCAGGCTGCTCCAGGTGCTCCAGCGCGCTCCCGGGTCCCCCGGACAGCAGCGGAGACTCCGTCTCGTTGCAGGCGGTGCCTCAGGAATGTCTTTGAGCCCTAGCATTGGCATTGGCAAGGCCACGCGCACACACACACATGAGGGCACGAGCACACACACACACACACACACACACAAACAGAGCAAACCTTTGCGGTGGAGCTCTCCGTGCCGTGCTCTACCGCACGAGTCATTTCGTATTAACCAACACGGCATCTGCCTGGTTGTTGACCCGACCCGCTCGCTCTCTCACACACTAGATACCCGAAGGGGTTGTTTGTAAGAAGGGGCGAGTGATGCAGGGAGGGTACAGTAGGTGCCGGGGCGGGGGGGGGGGGGGAGGCTCCAGCAGTCGTAGTTTGTATTAATCTTTGCCCTGTTCTGAAATCAGTGTTGTACGAGGCGCCAATGCCGAGTCAATTTTAAAAATAGTTGCGGATCCGATTTGGACAACATCAGTTAATCACCTCGGCCGTCTATTCAGTCCGCGTCTTTAAGGAACGAAATCGCGGAGGAGTGGGCAGTCACGCGTGGCGGCGCCGTGGACCACCGTGGCCGGCATCCGCGAATAGCCGTCGCGGCTCTTCAAAGCGCGAGGCGGCGCGCGGTGCACAGTGGGCCAGAAGACCGGTGGAGGCGGTCAAAACTCTAGACGCGTTTTGAGCTCCAGAGTCGCTAAATGGGGCTCGAACCGAACGTGTGACCCCACCAATGGATTCCTCGTTCGAAGAGCAATCCATTGGTGCGGTCACACGCTCGGTTCGAGTCCCATTCAGCGACTCTGGAGCTCAAAACGCGTCTAGAGTTTCGGCCGCCTCCACCGGTCTTCTGGCCCACTGTGCGGTGACGTCAAACAAGTAGTGTAAGGCATCGTCTTTGTGCGCCGGCCGGCGAATCGGTTCGCCCGAGGCGCGGCGTGGTGGGCGCGGCCTGGGTCCTGGCCAGCCTGTGCACAGTGCCAAGGACGCGGCGGGCGAGGCTTGACGAGAAGGTTCCAGACAAAAGCGGTCCCCGCAACCCACGCCCCCGCCAGGTACCCCTCGCGGCAGTACTGCACGAAAATCTGCGGGCGCGGGGATTCGAACCCAAGACATTGCGATGCAAAGCGGGTGCCGCATTGTGGACCCTGTGTGCTCTGGGCGCCTCCGAGTGCGTCGCAAGGCGCTTCGCAGTGCTGCGTCCTCATCAAGGCCATCGCGGTCGAGTTTAAGGACAGGCGCGCGGTGCGCACTGCTTTGTGAGGGCCAGTCCTGGAACACCTAGGCATGCCCAGGCACGGGGGTGCGGGAAACTGCTTGGTCATGCAGCAAGACGCATGCTGACGACGTCGGTTTCGGGCCGCCCTGCGTAGCCCCGCCCCGCCCCACCCCGCCCCGCCCCGCCCCGCCCCGCCCCGCCCCGCCTTGCCCTGTGATGCGCTGTGCGCGTGCGGGTCGCCGGAATCGTATTATGCAGTGAGCCCGGCCTTGCGACGTGAGCTGCCAGCCGAAATTTGGAATTAATTATTGTGGCTCGGAGTGTATGGCGCTGGAAGCGGAAGTGTTCGTATGAATTCTGTTTTCAGGATTTCTTTTTTCAGAATCCGGATGATCCTCTGATGCTTTTTTTTTCAGGCACAAACAGTGGCCTTGTTTTTCTGCAATACGTATACGCATCGTACTTGTATCAAGGACTCAGGAACTCCCAGACAACCAGAAACGAACAAAGTAATTAAAATGATAAACGGTTTATTGCATTTTTATACTGGTGGAGATATGGAGGCCGAAAAGTTCTGAAGCGCTGCTCAGCTGCGAAGTCAAGCGGCGCGCCGTAGAAACTGTCGTCTGCTGCGACTTCTGTGGAGGAAAACGAGAAGCACACGTTGTATGAAAAATGGCTGGGTCCCTCGAAAGGATCGCTGGCGAGATCCCGTCCCCCAGAGTTGCTGCATCACCGGGGATGTTATCTGATTTTGGACCGGGATGAATTTTTTACTCGGCTCTCTGCGAAAAAGGGGCGAAGGACTCGCGGGCCATTTAACTAATGCACCACATACGCCTGGAGTCAGCCGAGTTAAAACGTTGTGGACGATAAGGCAAAGTGGGCCAAAGTGAAACATCGGGAAATGGAGCAGAAGATGCGTGTTAGGCTAACTCCTCTTTGACACTGCGTCGACGACGGCTCTACTTACGTTCAACGGGTGGAATGGAGTTTAACGGTACAGGTAAGCGGAGCCGTAGCCGAGGCCGGAGTAGGCGTAGGGGTAGGCGCTGTAGGCAGAGTAGCCGGAGTAGGCGGGGTAGGCGGCGGAGTAGGCAGAGTAGGCGGGGTAGGCGGCGCCGTAGGTGCTGACCACGGGGCTGGCGATGTACTGGGCCGAAGCCACAGCCAGGACGGCGAAGACGAGGAGCAGGGACTTGTACATGGTGATGCTGTTTCGGTCGGAGACTGAATACTCCCCGCCGGCCGGCGTGCGCTTATATAGGAGCGTCTTCGAGGACGCCTCGCGCCGCGACGCCGCACCGTGCCAAGCCGTGCCAAGCCGTGCCGTGCCTCGCAACGAGCCAACAATAATTTGAGTCGCCTTTGGCCTGCCGGGGGGCAAGGGGGCCGGAGGGGGTTCCGTGGTCCGGCCAACCGGAGACGCTGTGCTTTGGGCGTGGTTACCACCACACCCACAGCGAGCCCCTGTTTACCCCCCATGCCTCCTCACTCACAGGTAGACACACCAACACACACGCACGCACACGTCACACGCGGATCCTTCTATTCTCGCGCCACACCTCTGCTCCGATTTTGATTAATCAGAGCGACGCTCCTCGAAGACGGCGGCGGCGGCCCGGGGGGGGGGGGAGTCAACACGCTCCCATTATGACAGCACTGGTGACGGTTGCTATGGGCCTCGGCGTGCCACGCCCAAAGGCGCCGGGCGACGCAGGTAACACTGGACAAGAGCGGCACTTTTCATGCTGGAAATACGTCAAATATGAGAACGGCTCATATATTTTTTGAGGAGACGCTTGCGACCGTCCTGTTTGTTCTCTGATGCGGGACTAACAGGGTCGAGTGGAAACTTATAAAATATAGGAATTTTTCCAGGATTTGCTTGCGTCGCGTGGTGAGTCCGTATGTAGATCAATGAAAGACTTTTTTCAGATCCATAAAAAATACGAGTGCCTCCGTCATTATTTCGAGCACATTAATTCTGTTGTTTTTCTGTTCCAATTTTTTGACGCTAGTAAATAAATTCAGAAAGCGCCTTTTCGTGGTTCGGCTGAATTGCGCCGGACGCGCCATCTGGCGGTCGCAGGGCGAGGCACAAAGGAGGCGCGCCAAACCGCCAAACCGCACACAATGTCGTGTCAGTGACAAAGCGGGCGGCGCGGAGCGGGCGCGCTCCCGGAGAAGGATGGGCGCGCGTTATTTGGAAGAGCAAGGAGAGCGATAGAAGCGCTCAGGTGTACGCGGGGCTCGCTCGCCAATCCGCCGCTCTGGAGCGCTCGCACGCCGCACAGTGGGCCAGAAGACCGGTGGAGGCGGCCAAAACTCTAGACGCGTTTTGAGCTCCAGAGTCGCCAATCGGGGCTCGAACCGAACGAGTGACCCCACCAACGAATTCCTCGTTCGGAGAGCAACCCATTGGTGGGGTCACACGTTCGGTTCGAGTCCCATTAGGAGACTATGGAGCTCAAAACGCGTCTAGAGTTTTGGCCGCCTCCACCGGTCTTCTGGCCCACTGTGCGCCGCTCGCGTCTTGTTCTATTCTGGGTGCGACGCGGCGCGACGCGGCGCCGGCGTGCTGGAATGCGTGGGCGGGCGTGCGTTATCTGCGATCCCAAGGACTCCGGTAATTGGTCGCCGATGATCCCGGAGGAGCGGCAGCAGTGTAGTGGCTCCACCGGCCGACGCAGCGCCACCTGTCCAGTCACGGCGAAGACGGCCCCCGTTTTTGTGAGGGTGTCGTTGCCTGGCCCGGCCTGGCCTTTCCTCCGCGGCCACGTGCCCCGCGAAGGCGAGGTCTTCTGTCCTCGTCGGTCGCCAGGCCGCCCCGGGCACGCGTGCGGCGTGCGAGAGAGACGGCTGCCCGTCACGCACACACACGCGCACACGCGGCGACGTGAAAAGCTGGCCATTCGCCGCGCCACTCGCGGAGGAGCCAAACCAGAGGACAATGCCAGGTGTTTGTTTTTTTGAACGCCGCCGCGCGCGTTTCGAACGCCACGGTGGCCAGTTTTGACTGCATGTTCGCGATTGGCGCAGTTCTCTCCCTCAACTCCCAAAAACAAAAACAAAAAAAAAAGAGGGCAGGGAAGACCCCCATGCTATCGAATGCAGTGCTGCTAAACTTCTGAAATATGATTTCTTTTTTTTATCAAATTGTCTGCGTTATTCGTTTCAAACAAACTTTTGTGGAACAACAGGTCCTCCACGGAACAGGTTGAACCGTTTCAAAGTTTTCCGGGATCCCTGAATTATTTCTGTTTTTGCACTTCTAGAGCAAAACCCACTTGTTTTTTTGTGTGTGTTTATCACTGTCGAGAGTCTTTGTTGTTGTGCGGAGACTGGTGGGACTCGTATCATGAGTTTCGAATATTCCAAAAATAAACGGTTCGGGGCGTAAAATAATATGCATGAGTTAAGTAATGCAACAGTTTTATTTTTTTATCACTTGTGGAGCCGAAAAGGTTGAATGCACCTCAGCCAGGGAGCGGAGGAGCGGACCGGAACATTGTCGTCTGCTGCGTACACTGCAACAAGTCAAGATCACAATGTGTTACGATAGGCATGGAAGTTCACCTACTTTCACAGTGCACGTTGCCACTCCAAAGAGAACTTACATTTAACGGTACAGGTAAGAGGAGCCGGAGTACACGCTGGGGTAGGCGCTGTAGGCGCTGTAGCCGGAGTAGCCGGTGTAGGCGGGGTAGGCGGCGGAGTAGGCGGAGTAGGCGGGGTAGGCACCGGCGGAGTAGGCAGAGTAGGCGGGGTAGGCGGCAGCACCGTAGGTGCTGACCACGGGGCTGGCGATGTAGCCGGCCGAAGCCACAGCCAGGACGGCGAAGACGACGAGCAGGGACTTGTACATGGTGATGCTGTTTCGGTCGAAGACTGAATACTCTCCGCCGGCCGACCACCGCTTTTATACAGTTTCGGCCGGGCTTTTCGCAAGGCCGCCAGCGGAGCAGGACCGCGGCGTCCGAGCGTCCGAGGCGTGGCGGCGTCCTGGGCGTGGCCGCACCGCACCCCCGCACGCACTTTCCCCCTCTTCGTCGGCCTGATTCGTCAGCCGCAGCCACGCTGGAGTGTTTGTTTTGCGGCCGTGCCACCGTTCGTCCGGCTGTGCTTCGCCCCGAGCCGGGAAGGCCGGTAAAACGGCCAGGGCCTTCCAGACGGTGCGGCGTGTCGCGGAAACTATCCTGCCACCCCGGCAGAGGGACAGCGACTCAGCCGTCTTGTTCCAGTGTCGACAGAAAACGTAGAGGATTCCCTTCGCGGGTGCATGTCTCGAGACTCGTTGCGTCGCGTTGCGTGCATCGGCTGTGGGTGCCATCTTCCCAATCGACTTTCTCACTGTGCATCTGGTCTCTTGGGAGGCTCTTTTATCCCCCCTCCCCCCTCTCATGTCCTGCCGCCTGGCCATTTCTACCCCAGTGAATGCAATTGGTGGCGGTCTTGTACTCGAACGGGTCCCCGCCCCGCCCCACTCCGTCGGGATCCTCGTGGCCTATTCTTCCGGTGAAACTGACGCTAGTTCCCCCGAGGGGCTGGCGCGCCATGGCGGGGCTAGGGGAGGGCTGGCCGGGGCTCGGTTCATTCCCGCTTACAGCCCGCGATATCCTCCCCAGGCTCTCGCAAGGCTGCGCTCGGACTAAGCCGGCACAGCGCCGTGCCTCGCGCCATGTCGTGAGCCCGGAGGAGGGGGAGGGGGCCGGAGTGACCCGGAGCCGCGCCGCACAGGCCTAGCGAGACGACACAACGCCCTGCGCCTTGCGGCCTGCAGCCAGCCACTGTGAAGCATGTAGTTGGTCGAATTCCACGCCGAAATTCCTTTCTTTGCTTTCATCTCGTGAAGTCAAACATGTTTGACATGTCTGCAGACATTGGACTGGACCCCGAGGTGGTGTCACTGATTCAACCTGTCGCCTACCTGGTTTCCTTCTTGCTGAGCGCGCACACACACGCACACTACACTCACACTAACACAGAGGCTAACACACACACGGACGCTAACACAGCGCTCACTCACACAGAGGGCGCACACACGCACACACGGCTGGGTGACATCCTCCTCTGCCCCCAGGGGAACTAGGGACGGGCAGCCCGCGCGTGTGGATTCCCCTAAAATATTGATACCCGTCTCGTGTGCCGTCCACCGTGTCCGCCCAGAGGTCCGCCGTCCACCCCGTCCCTTGGCCCGCCCCTTCGTTAGTCCCGGGGGAGTACTGGTCGCCCTGTTAGGCCAGCGAAACCCGGGCCGGAGGCTGTCAGCCAGCCGGGGGCGCAACGGACGCCCTGGAAGACGGCCTGGAAGAAGGCCTGGAAGTAGGACCAACAGGCCAACACCGCACGGACTGGGTCAAGGCAGGGAAACACTGCCGTCAACTGGCAGTGCCTCACTGCAGGACAACTGTTTTCACCCAAAGACGTTGAGGAAATCCTCAAAACTTAAAGCGATGCGCGATGCTGAACTCGCACACTTTATTGCCCACTTTAGTGGAATGAGTTCGCTACTCAGTCTCCACGCGCCGCCACGGGCGGACCAGCCAGGATTTGCGTAGCAATTAAACGTTTCGGCGGATGGCCTCAGGATCCAGCAGCAGCCCACGCAGGCGGGCTCGTCCGGAGCAAAATATCCAAACAAAAAACACGCACATGAGTTTGCCTTCGATAGGCTCAAGATGATCCAAGAGGACCACGCCCTCCACTAGCCCCTGCCCGATTTGCGGCTCCCCGCCCCACCCCACTCCGCCCCGCCCCGCCCGCACGCAGAGTTCCGAGAGAGCCACGCACTGTACAGCACGCGTGCGCTAGAGGTATAAAAGCAGAAGCCGGCCGGCGGGGAGTATTCAGTCTCCGACCGAAACAGCATCACCATGTACAAGTCCCTGCTCCTCGTCTTCGCCGTCCTGGCTGTGGCTTCGGCCCAGTACATCGCCAGCCCCGTGGTCAGCACCTACGGCGCCGCCTACCCCGCCTACTCTGCCTACTCCGCTGGTGCCTACCCCGCCTACTCCGGCTACTCTGCCTACGGCGCCTACCCCTACGCCTACTCCGGCCTGAACTACGGCTCCTCTTACCTGTACCGTTAATTTTCAAAGTGAGTACCATTCAAAAGAAGTATCTCTTATGCGGTCTTTTACGAGAGCGACATTTTTCGTGCAAGCCTCGAATGCGGTTGGCACCTCCTGTCTGTGGTGTCCATTTTTCTCACGCTATCCATGTTTTCGTTTTCAGCTCCCAATGAATCCGGACCCCCGCCAGCCCCGTGCTCTCCAGACCGCTGGGCTTCACACCACATTCGGCCTCAAGACTGACAAAAAACAATAAATGTCTCGCAATATCTAACCCGGTCTATTTTCCTCTTTTCCTCGTGCCTTTCCTGCTCGGCAGGCTGCCTGTGGCTGCGGGCTGCCGCCTCAGAGGTGTCACGTCCGCGAGCTCCCTTTGATGCATAAGCAGATTATTCATTTTCCGCTCATTAAAAATCCCACACACTGATCCTGGTGGGATTGGGGGCAGGGGGCGGGCCCAATCTGAAGGGCATGCCAAGAGCAGCCCTTTCCGAGAATTTTCACATTTTTCCCCGCCGGCCGGCTGGCGTGGCTGGGCAGGCGTGGGCCCGGGACGGCAGGGGGTGGGAGCAAGACGGTGATACTTGTGACTTGCGCCCCGGGCGAGTGGCGCGCCTTCCGTATTCCGTAAGCCTTCTTCATTAATTAAATCAAATAACAAAAGAGACACATGCTGTCTTGAACAGTCCCGTCGCTTAATCAGATGGCGCGAGGCTAAAGTTTCGTGAGACGACTTCTTTTCGCTCTCTCTCTCTCTCTCTCTCTCTCTCTCTCTCTCTCTCTCTCCCTCTCTCTCTCCCTCCCTCTCTCTCTTAGCCACACCGGGCACGGCTGCGGAGTTTGTGTCATTGTTTTGAATGGACAACTGCCGGAGCGGTGCCGCGGCCACCTGCTGCGCAGCCATAGCAAGGAGAAAGACGCACCCGCCCCCGAAGTCGACCTCATTGTCCATCTGGTTCACTTGAAGCTGTTGGCTCGCGCTGCCCAAAACTCTAGTCACGCACTCTCTCACTCACACACATCAAAACCACGATGAAAAGTGCGTGAGATGGTCCACGCAAGAGGACTGTTATGGCAAGAGAGTTGTTTTGGAGCAGGGACGATGGCACAGTAAAAGACAACGCAGTTGAGTCGAAACGCGCGACTGTATCGAGACTATCGAAAGGCTCCTCGAGGAGTGTCGCTTAAGCGCGGCGATTGAAAGCTGACGAGGGAAGCCGTTGGCGACGCCGTCTCCGCCCCGCTCAAATTTAGTGGGTTTAATAAGTCCGTCCAATATACGAGGCGCTCGGCGTGAACGCGCCCGAAATGCAGATGAGGAGATAAAAAGCGGCAATATACCGGCAGCCGCGAGCCCCGCGAGCGGAAAGAGTACCTAGAGTGCCTCGACTAGAGCGCGCCGCGCTCGTAAAGGGGACGCTACTGAATAGGAGAAGGTAAGCGCAGCGCAGTGCGGTCGGTGAACGTTTTGCGAACTATCTTTTTTTTGCTGGCGGTGTGCGGCGCTGCACGGTGCTGCTGCGATTACCATGGCCAATGAATGGGAATAGCGAGGCTTCCTCTATCCGCGCTATCCACCCTATCGCCTCTATCCGCGCTATCCGCTCTATCCGCCGGGCCGTGCATGCCTGCCCGTGGGCATGTCCAATGCACATCGTCGCCTCCAAAGCCGCGGCCTCGCAAGCTCGTGCGTGGACACCGGCGCGGTCCAGGGCCAGATGGGGGCCAGACGGACGGGCACGACGGTGTTCATCTGAGAGACACGTAGAAAATCCACCCACTTCGTCTTCAGAGGACGCGCTGTCATAGAAGTTTTCATCAAATTATTGTGTTTAATTTGGTCTAATAAAAATGCATTTTAGTCCTTCACTAAAATCTGATACAGCTGTTCTTTACAACAGTGCACACTCAGTTGTTGGTACCCGCGACTAGGACGACTGTTTTGTCAATTCAAAGCAGGGCCCGGAGTATGATTGTGTGTGTGTTCGGGGTTAAGAGAATACAGCAAGTTTGAGATGAGAAGCTGTGTTTATTTTCTGACGATTCGTGGAGCCGAAACGGTTTGCATGATGCGCTCCATCGCGACGGCGGGAGCGCGGGCCGGAAAGTTGTCGTCTGCAGCGAACACTGGGACAGGAAGACAGGAAGACCTTGAGAACGTTTCCCGCGGGGACGGGCGTGGCAGCCTGTCACGATGAATGCCAAATAAAGGTTTACAGGGTGGTAAAAGGAACACTTACATTTAACGGTACAGGTAAGAGGAGCCGAGTTCAGGCCGGAGTACAAGCTGGGGTGGGAGTTCCAGGCGCTGTAGCCAGAGTAGCCGGTGTAGGCGGGGTAGGCGGCGGAGTAGGCAGAGTAGGCGGGGTAGGCACCGGCAGAGTAGGCAGAGTAGGCGGGGTAGGCGGCAGCACCGTAGGTGCTGACCACGGGGCTGGCGATGTAGCCGGCCGAAGCCACAGCCAGGACGGCGAAGACGACGAGCAGGGACTTGTACATGGTGATGCTGTTTCGGTCGAAGACTGAATACTCTCCACCGGCCGGCCAGAGCTTTTATACTCACACGCGCGTGCGTTGTGTACAGTGTGTTCACGCGTGGACGGGCGCGGTTGGTCCACGCGGTGGTGAGTGTGCGAGAGAGCGAGAGAGAGGTGGTTTGATGCTCGAGCTAGCGAGGGCGTGGTTTGGATCATGCCTTTCAATCCCGAAAGAGGCACACTTTATCCTCCAGGTTCACGGTGAAAAAGCAAACAAAATGGACTGACAGATAGCTGAGTCTGCCACCTTGAACATGAACGGCCAGCCCGCCCCCGCGTGGGCCCAGGACACAGGATGCCTGCCGCTGGCGGCTATTGTCTCCGTTTGACAACTGCGTCCTGGCACTGCATTTCGAGTCCCCGCCTGAAAACGACCCTAACTGCCGAGGCAACCCCAAACAGTTGGGCTCCTCTTGCAGTGGCGGCTCTCGTTCCCGCCCCCTCAGCGAGGCCACTGTGCCGCTGCGCCATCGAAACGAGAGTGAATCGGACGCTAATTTGCCTCTAGCCTGCAGCTGTCTCAGTCGCACTCGCATGACGTTCCGTTGGAGTGCGAGAGAGACAAACGGGAATCAAAGAGCGCAGCAGGAGTCGGGAAGGGCCTTTTCGTCGCCTTGCTTTCGTATGCGTTCCGTAGCGGTGCAAGAGAGACAGACCACCTTCTCGCAAATTTGCCGCAGACACGCAACAATCGGCCAGTCGAACGGGTGGGATTTTCTGGACAGATCCGCGGTTTCTTTGCGCATTGTTGTTTCGCCCAGGCCAACGCCAGGCTAACGCCCCCACGCATAATCGCAAGGCCCGGCCGGCCTTTGGCTGCCTTTGGCTGCTGCCGTTGGCGCGTCGACCCGCTGCTCTGGACGCGGCCCAGGATGTGGCGGTCACTCGGTGCGCCTGCAGGCCCACGCGTCTCTCTCGCACCCCAGCGCGCCAGCGGGACGAGTGCGAGAGCGACAGAGCCACGCGGCGCCGCACTGCTGCAACTTGGCCAGACTTGGCCAAGGCGGGCGGCGCACGGCGGCGGCGGCCCGTCGGAGCGTCTCGACTCGGAGACCGGAACGGAACGGATAATTTCGGACGTCTGAATTTCACCGGTTGGTGGTGTCAGAGACAACGCATTGCTAAACATCGACAAGCTGCCAAAATTTTGCTCTTGAAATCTTTTGGTCTCCCGTGCAAAACGTCTAATACGCCCAGATGCGTTTTCTGTTACAAAATGTAATGAAATAATCCGTGTGCCTGGTGATTTCTTCCTCAACAAAGTGACTCAAGGCAGTCGGCGTGGGCACGGCAAAATCTCCGGTCCCCTCCGAGACCCGAATCCACGGGGCCATCAATACCGCTCAGCCACAGGGAACGCTAGTTGTCCATTCCTTCGGCGTTGGCGCCCGACGCGGCGGATCCGCTAAATCTTCCGATCACTTGATTGGCTGGCCGGGATAAAAACCTTTCCGCTGATTGGCTGCAGCTGACGTCGTGGCCCAGATCGTCGGCTATGTGTCTCCGCGTCGGCGAATTCCAGGTGAGGGGCGTCCCCCACTCTACAATAATACTTTCGTCAAACAAAACCGACGCTCTGTTGCCGCTGGTGAACGTTCAGGGCAGAATTGGTCTATGTACCAGCATTCTTCCCACGTCAGTACATCCCCCTGCAACGCCCTGCCTGATCCACAAAGACCACCACCTCGCGGCCTTGGCGGCGTGCGTGCGCGCCTTGCACGTGGATCGCCGTGGAGGGCCTTGGCTCGCCGTCGAGGGACTTGTTGTCTGCTCGTTGGCCACACTCACGCGCAGCATCGCATCGCCAAGGATTCCCGCCCGTTTACCCAGTCACGCCGAAACTGCCTAATTCGGCCGAGCGGAAATAGTTTGGCGCCGAAGGGCTTCCTAGAACGTTTATCGGAGTGCACATCGATTCCCGGGCCCTTGCGTGCGTGTGTGCGTTTGACAGTGGTGGGGCTCGGAGGCAGGTAACCCACGTGGTACAGCGCCAGGCGGGCTGGGCTGCCCGCCGAGCAGACGGCCGCAGCCCCACCCAGCCCGTCCAGCCCCCCGTCCAGACGGACTGTGCACGCGCGTGTGAGTATAAAAGCTCTGGCCGGCCGGCGGAAAGTATTCAGTCTCCGACCGAAACAGCATCACCATGTACAAGTCCCTGCTCGTCGTCTTCGCCGTCCTGGCTGTGGCTTCGGCCGGCTACATCGCCAGCCCCGTGGTCAGCACCTACGGTGCTGCCGCCTACCCCGCCTACTCTGCCTACTCCGCCGGATACTCCGCCTACCCCGCCTACTCCGCCTACTCTGCCTACGGCGCCTACCCCTACGCCTACTCCGGCCTCGGCTACGGCTCCTCTTACCTGTACCGTTAAACTCCAAACCGAGAATGGTAAGTGGCTTCGTGACGTTCGTCTCTATTTTCACTGATGGCATTGCACTAATCAACAAGACCAGGCAATATTTCTTGGATCAGAGATTCAGAACCGCGTGCAGAACCAAACGTGCAATTACAAAACTTGTCTCATCAAATTACTCCTTGTTGCAGTGCTCGCTGCAGACGACGCCATCCCGGACCCCGCATCTCTGCCTCCAGACAGAAGTGCCTTCAATCCATCCTGGCTGTGATCAAAATTGAATAAAAGTGTTCATCCGCAAAAACTTTCGTTCTCGCTCTGGGCTCCCTACGGTGTCCTGCCGAAGTATTCAACCTTGCCAAGCCCTTGCACACAGGGTCCGCCAAGCCAAACAAAAAGCGGCCCTTGCCGCGGAGGCACGCCAGGCACGCCAGGCATGGCGACAGATTCGATGGAGAAGCCCAAATAATTCATGCGCAGACTGCAGACTTTTCCTTGGTGGGGCGGAACCGAGAGTACCGACTACACCCTGCGAAAAGTGGCCAGCCCCGCTCTGACTACACTGCGAAAACTGGCCCACCCTCTTCCTTTGCGTCTGCACTTTGCAGTGAGTTCAGTCAAGCCTGCGGCGTGGCTGCATACAAACTTCTCTGAGGAGGGTTGCCAATTTCTACAAAAGGTTTGATCTTTTGTGGTGTCTGGAAATCCCTCCCTCCTACAAGGCCTTCGTCTGGAGTCTGTCCCGCCAGGACTGGCGGAAAGAGACTGCTGAGCAACCATTAATAAAATCCGAGTTCCCCTTCCGCGCAGGCCAACACCCCGCTTCCGGAGGTCGGGGCGCCAGCCTCTCGCAGCGCGGCGAGAGGAGGGCAACACTCAGGTGAAGACATCCCCCTCCCGGTCGGCCGTCGGGGAAGCACCTGGCCGATACCGCACACAGTCGCTGTCTCCCTCCCGCGCGCACGAGGCGGCCGATGAGTGCGAGGAAGACGGAGTGACGAAAGCACTTCGGAATCAGCCCGCTCGCGACTTTGCGAACAGAGGCGACCGAGATACTATAGCGCTCACGACGGCGCGCGGCCTACCGGCCTGCCGGCCTGCCGGTCTGCCCCCTCGAGGGTCTTCCGGCCTTTGTGTCACGCTGTGGGAGACGGGGGAAGGGAGAGGGGTCAGGTGGCGGCGAGGCGCCACACAAACTTTCCCAGGGATTATTTCGGGGTGATGATTACTTAACTTTATAATCCAAATTTGTCAATCTCCGTCGTCTTGGCGACGACGGCTACCTGGCGGGGTGGCCGTCAGCGGCCCTGGAGCGCCTGGCGGGTAGGCCGCCGTCGTGGCCGCGATGCACGCGTGTCGCGCGGTGCGGCCTATGCGACGGTTCACAGGCGCTCGGCCACCAGTGTCACCACGACAAAAATTCACCCGATGCTCCAGAACCGAAAGGGTTAGGTTAGGCGCGTCGCCGCCAAAGTGCGGGAGTAAATACTGGAGATTGAGTTTGAAACGGTCGCCGCGTTGACCTTCATCCACCTTGAGCGAAGATGACGACGGCGACGATGGAGATGGTGTCGTTGTGCTGTAATGAAACTCCACTTTGGCAGTGCGCCGCACCGCCGCCCGCCCCACCGCGGCGTTCTTGCCGGCGCTCTGTCTCTGTCGGTACCGCCCCTTCTTTCGCCGCGCCAACTTTGGTAATATAACGCACGGCGAACGAAGCGCGGCGCGGTGCGGCGTGGCGTGGCCGCGATGAGCAGGGCTGCGGTGATGGGGGGCAGGGCGGCTCCGGCCGGGCCCGAATATTCACGCTGTTTGCGAAACGGCTCGATGAGGCCGAAAAGTTGTGGGGGGGGGGGGCTCCTGTTGCATCCGCGAGACGCTAGTGATCTCATCATTCTCGTGGATTATGACGGGGTAACAAAAGATAGCATGTTATACTGGGTGAAACAGGAGTTTATTTTTCGATCAAATGTGAAGCCAAAATGTTTGAACGCACCGCAGCATTGCTGCATTGGTGGCGACCGATGAAACGTCGTCAGCAGCGACCCTGGAAAAGAAAAAAAAGAAATCTCATTAGACAAGGGAAAATAGAAGTCCGAGATTGATGAACCAAATTCGTGCACTCAGATCACTTTACAAAAAATAAAACTGACTTACATTTTAACGGTACAGGTAAGAGGAGCCGTAGCCGAGGCCGGAGTAGGCGTAGGGGTAGGCGCCGTAGGCAGAGTAGGCGGAGTAGGCGGGGTAGGCGGAGTATCCGGCGGAGTAGGCAGAGTAGGCGGGGTAGGCGGCAGCACCGTAGGTGCTGACCACGGGGCTGGCGATGTAGCCGGCCGAAGCCACAGCCAGGACGGCGAAGACGACGAGCAGGGACTTGTACATGGTGATGCTGTTTCGGTCGGAGACTGAATACTCTCCACCGGCCGGCCAGAGCTTTTATACCGCCAGCAGCGCACGCGCACGCACGCGTGCTGTGCCGGGCACGGCCGGGCACCCACGCGGGGCGGGGGAGGGTGGGGGCGTGGCGCCGTCGCGGACCTGCCTTAACGTTGGCCAGACGGCCTAGCGGCCGTGGCCGGTGGGGCGCGGTTTACAAAACAACGAGTCCCGTCCTTATTCACTTTATTTCTGTGTTGGCGCCACAATTCGTCTTTGTTTCCTGCAGCCACGCCACTACATTGTGAACACCACACATTGCGCTCTGAGGCCAGGCAGACTCCCCTGCGGCCAACTCTGCGGGGTAGGTCCCCCCCCCCCTTCTCCACCATCGCGTGCACCCCGGCACCCCGATAGCGTGCCGCAGGTGGGACCATGAGGTTTTGCGTTGTTTACCTTCTTGTTGCGGCTGGTCGTTGCGGTTTTTGTTGCGTTCCAATCATTGTTTCCGACGCGCTGTTCGTTATCAAATATTTGAACTGTGGAATCTGCTTTTGGAATGAATGTCGCGGTCCAATTTCTTCGGTCTGGACGCCACCTGCGTTCATTTCCACGACCCCTGCTTCCAGACCGCGTTTGATTGAGTCTCACTCACTCGGGCGCACCCTCGCGTCCACACACACATTGTCACGCACGCGTGCATCCGAAAGCCTAACAGCATTATAAAAAGAGACAACAGCGGAGCAGGAAATAAAAGCAGGGTTGTGGCGTGTGACTAGCGCCCCGTGTCTTTTGTCACAACGCGCATAACAATGATGGCCTCTGCTGAAACAGAAGCCCCGACAACAACAGCAGCAACAACAGTTGGCAACTGCATTGGGTTCACAAAGGGAGCTGCGGCCCGAACCGCCAAGGCATGCTTCCTGCGGTCCTGCGCGCCGGGGGAAGGGGGTGGAGTGATTCCGAACTCTCTCTCTCTCTCACCCCTGCGGGATATCCGGCGAGTGCAAGAAAGTCAGAGTGACCGTTCGGAGGAGTCTGGACGCCTGGCGAACGTTAACGCTGCTTCATCCAAGTCTGCAATCGAGGCCTAAACTTTACTCCGCCACTGCCAATCCTTTCGCTTTACGGCCGGTGCATGGAACGCTGGAGCAGGGCGAGGAGGGGGGCGTGGCTGCCTGCCTGGCTGGGCGGCGCGGCGGCAAGGCAGCGCAGCCTGGCAGCCGGTTCGTCATGATCTTGACCCTGGACTTGGCTGGAGGCTGCGCCGTGCCGCGGGCCCGACCAGTACCTTGATCTTGGCATTGCGTGATCCCGCCAGCCGGGCGGCGGCGGCGGGGAGAGGAGTGGGAGGGGGGTGTCGTAACCGCGCCACCGTAAATAAATATTACGGTTTTCGGCGCGCAAGGACGCCGCCTGATTGCGTCTGCTCGATCGCCCCGCCCCGCCCCGCCCCGCGGGAGACAGAGGAGGGAAGAGAGAGAGCGCGCGGCGGCAGCATTTCCACGCCAACTCGCTCGGACTACGTCGTCGTCCGCCGAACACCGATAGCGGAGCGTCGCCGCGGAGCCGAAGACCGCCGAGAACAACACCGAAGCAGTGCTTACGATCAGTCACCGTGCTTCTCAATCGCTTCGGTTGCGTTCATCGAAGTCGAAAGAGGGGAGCTCTTAAAGTTGGAGCAGAAAGTATACGAAACTGGTGATTTTTGGCGTGTGGCTGCGAGACTCCCCGGCGGGGTGCCATTTTCCTGATTACCAACTCGCGCGATGCGACTCAGCTCGACTTAAAGGCGGACTTTGGCACTCCGATTTCCATCAAGCAAGTTTGGGTGTGAACTCGGTGCTGGCTGCGTGGCGGTCGCGGTGGCTGTGGCGGGAACCCTCTGCCAGCCTCTGGGCAAATCGCGGCCGCTCTGTCAGGCCAGCCACAATCTCGTGCGCGTCGGACGGATCCATCATCATCCCAAGCAAAACAGAAGAAAAGTGTTGGCGATAGGCGCGCGGTTGTCTGCCTTCTGGTGGCTATTCGTCACCGCTAAGGAACACGCCCAAAAAAGCAACCCGGAGTTATCGAGTAACTGGCCGCAATCTGTGAAATTCTCCCGGAGCCAGCACCGCGTGGATGCTGCCGGACTTCCAGGTAGTCGTTACCCCTTCCATGGAGCCTCCGGGCCCGCAGGACGCGTGCACAGGACGGCGTCCTTGGTCACGGCCAGGGCCAGGGCGGCGGTGACGTGCACGACGAGGCACTTGGTGACGTCCTCTGTGACGTGGCGTGGCCTATGACGTGGTGCGTTGATGACGAGGAAGTGGCCTCGCCACGCCCCGCCCCGCGCCCAACCAGCCGAAATCGGACCGGGGACCGCGCGCGGCCGCCCAGCCGCGGGATCACGTTTCCCGCGTCGCGACTGTGTGCTGTGCAGTGTTGGTTTCCCGGTGGGAGGGCTGCTCAGAGGTACGACCAGGTTCGCGAAACAGTGCCGAGTCCGGACACAGACCAACTCGCGCTTGATGCCCACAGAAGGACGAGGGTAATGCGGGGCTTCGCGTTGTCGCGGACCAATGCGGACTCGAAACTTTCTGCCTCCACCGGCCCCCTGCGAGTCCGGCGGCTGCCCCCTCGCCCTCGCCTTTCATGCATCATCCCGCGGCTCGCGACAAATTGGCGACAGTGCATAACGAAGCGAAGCTAGCCTCGCCGAACCAGCCTGAATCGCCCCCACCTGACTGCCCTCCGTCATAATGAGATTAACCCCGGCAACTTGGCGCGGCCCGGCGTGGCGCGGCGCGGCTGGAGAAATAGTTGGCCGTCATCCTGCCGCGCTGCCGCCGCGCTGCCGCCGCGAGGGACCGGCCGGGACCGCCACCGTAACGAGACGGCACTGACAAAGCGCTGCTCTCCTTATATTCTCGCATTTCATTTTCGCGGAAACGAGCAGCACCAGCCAGCCAGCCCGCCAGCCAGCCAGCAGAGGCAACAGTGCCAACGCGTGGATCTACTGTCTTCGTGGTGGTGATGACGGCCTCCTGGTGGGCCTGGTGGTCATATGGAGGTGCTGATGGTCCTGGTGCTCGTGGTGGTCCGTGGTCCTGGTGGCCGTTGAGGTGCTGATGGTCCTGGTGCTCATGGTGGTCCTGGTGGTCCAGGTGCTCGCGGAGGTCACCTCATCGCTCATTCCATGGACACCTCTCGCAGCCATTCGCCGAACGAGCTAAATTTCGTGCGCAGCGCGGCGGTTGGTGGGTGGGAACAGCACGCTGGGCTATTTTTGGCCGGCCTGGCGGTCCGGTTGAGGGAGGCGGCGTGGCGTGGCGGTCTGCCTGCGTGCAGCCGGACCTGCCTGCCTACCTGCTGGCCTGGCCCTCGGGGCTTCGGGGGTCACTTCGTGCAAGCCGGATTCGTGGAGGCGAGGCGGGCGAAGCGGGCGAGGCAGCAGGTGGTTACGCCCCACTCCTCTTTTCCAACTCGTTCTCCAAACACCCCCGCCTCCTCCTGGTTTCTGGATGAATCGCACAAACAAAAGCAGCTGTTCAATCACAGCGTATCGCAGAACGTTTCGAGAGCTAAGCCAAGAGCAGGGTCCTTGTGGGACAAACACAAAATCACTTGAGTAGTAAGATACCCCCCAGGTCACCATCCGCCATCATGGAGCAAGATGATGCATTTTCTGATACCCTACAGGTATGGCCGTTTCAAAGAGGACAAGCAGAGGCGGAAAGGATCCAAACCGTCCCCAATGTCAGGACTTGCGATAACGAAACTGAAAGTTCAACAACAACATTAACAATAACAGACAGCACGCCTTTGTCCGTCGTCATCTCCTTGCGAGACATTCCCATTCCCGCTGCAGAGCGTTCACCCGCACTGAGGCTCGGCGCGATGCGTGCTCCGGGTCGCGTCCGAACCGACGCCGGCGCTCGATTGCGTTTCGTCTCGCTCGCACTCGCAGCGCGCCGCACGGCGGACAACGCGCTGAACAGGGCCGCCGCAAACCGAAAGACTGCCTTCGGATTGGGCCGTCGTCTCCTTTCCTCGGGCCAGCCGCCGGGGCGTGGCGGGGCGTGGTGGGGCGTGGCGGGCGGGGCACCACGATGGTGTTCACCTTGATCATGAACAGCTTTTGCCAGGATGCAGTCTGGCCGGCGGCGCGTCTTCCAGCCTCATCCAATTCGAATGCCGGGCAGCGCGTGAGAGGGCGGTCTGGGCTGGGCTGAACCGGCCGGACGGACAAAGGGTTGCCGGAGATTTCTGTTTGCCGAAATCCAGTTTGTCTGAATGGGGATTGCGTTTCGCCTGCGCCTGCCGGACCACCGGCCGGAGCCTGAAACGGGGAACCTTCAAAGCGCCCGGTCAAATTCGGCCTCAGACTCTGGGCGGCCCCACCGCGTGACCTGATACCGCCACAACATCGCCTAAAGCACCCAATCCCCCCGCATTCTGAAACAATCCAAAACCAAATACTACCTAGGACCCAGCCCTTGTTTCAGAAATCTAGTCTGCTATGTAAAGAGAAAACAATTGCTTTAGTGAGACGGAACCAAAACAGATAAATCATTTCTTAGAACATGACTCACAACAATTCTTCCTTTGGCAATAAACTCAACAACCACAAACAATTTTTGTTTTGCGTTGCGCGAAGGGCGTTTCTAAACATTAATCAAAAGAAACGCAGCCCTGTACCGCTGTCCTGCCTCGAACTTTTCCGAAACACCAGACGACTCCTCTCGAGAGACGTGTCACGTCGCACATTTTTGGCCGGTGGTTCACACCGCGCCCAAACAAAAAGAGCTGCCCGACCGGCCGGCCAGGCGATCCGTCATAGAGTCAGTCGCACTCGCTTCCGCGTTCGGAAGGTGGGCCGGGCCCGGCCTGCGTGGCTGCGTGGCCCGTCGGCTGGCCCGTGGGCCCGGCGAGCCTCCCCGGCCACGCCCCTCCGGCCGGCGCAGCCTCGGCGCAGCGCAGAGCAGCTAGCTCGTATAAAAGGCAGTGACCGTCTTGCTGCAGCACCAGTCGATCCT